AGTCCCGCGTGGTCACTGCTGTCCTGCAGACACCAGCAAGGACAAAGGAACCACGGGTGAGGACAAGGGTAAAACCCACTGTTTGCGCATCCACTCCCAGGCTCTTACCCCACAACCAACAGCTGGGTAAGTGGGTGTCAGTGATGGCCCCTGTGTGTGTCAGAAATATGAATGGCCAGGCCCCACCCCAGGCCTGCTTCCGTGTTTTCCCTGAGCTCTCTAAACACAGGTGCAGCTGGGAAGCACTGCTGTGGATGGTGGACAGCACAACAGAGAGCAGCGATGGGGTTAAAGCTCTGGGCTTTAAGGGGAGATGCTGGGATTTGAACCCAGGACTGTTAAACTCTGAACACAAGTCTATAGACCAGTCCTCTTGCTACTGTAACAAATGCTGCCTAAGGAGTGGCTTATAGCAACCCCACTTTCTTACGGTTCTCCATGTGAAAAGTCTGGGGCCCATCTAACCTGTGCGCGGGAAGAATAGAGTATTAGTGTGGGAAACTGGTCCAGAGCAGGGGCCAACCACAAACCTCGGGCTCACATGTGCACTGGTTAACCCTACCACCACCACGGCCCACTTTCTGCATGGGAGAAGCAAAAGACCACAAGGCCAGCCCTCCCTGGGCAGGTGGGGGCTCCGGGCCAGGGCCTGACAGCTCAAGGATGATGGAACTGCGGCTGACGTCAGGAGCCTGGTTCTCTTGGCTGAACAACCTCCCTTCAAGGTTGGCTGTTGGGGAGAATATCACAGACTATAACTGGGAGCCAAACAGCACAGGGGGCGCAGTGAGCAGGAGTTCTCCCCACTCCATCAGGTGTTCTGTGGGGTGGACAGTCCCACAGGACACGGGTGTGAGCTCTCCAGACCCTCGCCTTCTACCCCAGTAAGAACCACTGGTGTCATTTGACTATCCCCTCCCCCAGCACTCCCAGGGGTCCTCCTTCCCTCCCCACTAGGCCTCCGGGATGCAGGTGGAGGGGGCCTAGGACTCCCTGAATGCCCAAGCAGAGCCCATGCCACATTCTAGGGTTTTTGTTTTCAATTCAAAACAGGAAGGGAAGACCGGAAGTAGTAATGACACCTTGTGGCGTCTTGGTGGCCCGATAACCTCCATCCCTCCCACATACAAATCCAGAAAGAGAACTAAGTAGTACTCCTGTAATAAGCCCCGCCCCCCAGTCTGTGATGGGCTGGGGGCCCCTCCCAAGACCTCCAGCACGTGACAGGCATCTTATGGTCACTTGGAGGCCAGCGCAGGGTACAGGGCCTGGGGAGAGCTTCTGGTCCAGACCTGGAGTTTGAATCCCAGGACTGCCATTTTCCATGGCCTTGAGAATCACATACCCTGCTGACCGATGGAAGTCTAAGAATCCAAGGAGATGGCACTTTTGTAGGTCCTGGAAAAGACTTAGTGAGGTGATAATGGTGGAGGCGGTAGCACTAGCCCTCTACCTAGAAGGGTCTGACTTATTACCGTAGAGATGGTGGAGGATGGGCAGGCTGACCTGGAAAGTGGGTAAGGGAGTACCTCCTTCTCCATGGGGATGCAAGGCACTCAAATTTTTCCATTGATTTGAGGCTAGGCAGGAAGAAGGCCTAAGCACTCCCTCAGGGCCTGGCCAAACATAAGTGATGCTTATAATTAGCCACCAGCAAGTTCACTGCAGGAGCCTTTTCTGTCTGTGTCCCCAGATGCACATCACAGTGGAGGTGCTGCTGTCCAGGTCACCTGGAAAACTGGCCGTGCTGCATCATTGCAGGTTCAAAAGGAGCCAGGTCTGAATTAAGAGTAGCTCTGCTGCCAACTACAAGGACCAATAGGAGGAAGAGCAGAGCCCTTTCCAAAGTGCTACGGTAACCAATGCTGCTTGTAGTGGCTTATAGCAACCCAACTTTCTTACGGTTCTGAATGTGAAAAGTCTGAGGCAGATCTAACTGGGCTAAAATCGACCTGTGAGCAGGGTTGGTTTTCCTCTGGAGGCTCTAGGGAAAACCCATTTCTTTGCCTGGTAGCTTCTAGAGGTTTCTAGCACTCGTTGGCTGGGGCTATCCTTCTGGCAATGGTGGACAGAGCCTGCCGCACACCCCCTTGCTGTCTGCCATTCCCGACGGCACTTTTTCTCCTCTGACTCTCCCGCCTCCCTCTTCCTGCTCCAGGACCCTTGTGATAAACTGACTCTGCACAGGTGACATGTTTTCCCTTTTAGTTTTAATTTTGTTGTGCATTGTGGGGCTTGAACTCAGGGCCTGGGCGCTGTCCCTGAGCCTCTTTGTGCTCAGGCTAGTGCTCTACCACTTGAGTCACAGTGCCACTTCCAGTTTTTGAGTGGTCAATAGTAGATAAAATCTCACAGGGACTTTTCTGCCTGGGTTGGCTTTGAACTGCAATCCTTAGATCTCAGCCTCCTGAGTAGTGAGGATTACAGGCATGAACCTTAGTGCCTAGCTTATCCCTTTATTTTAAGATAGGGTGATGAACCCCCTTCTTTCCATTAGTTGCCTAACTTAATTCCCCCACCGCCATACATATAGGGCAGCCCGGTCCACCACAGGTGGTAGGCAGAGCTGGTGTCTCTGGTTGGGAGAAGGAAAATTGATGAATGGACCTTGCCCTCCACTCTCACCTCAACCAGAACGAGGTCTAGAGCAAAGAAATCACAGCCACGTGGACCAGGCAGTCAAGTGTTCTGTGGGCAGAACCCCTGGGCGGTGTGGGCTTTGTGCTGTCCTGAAAGCAGAGTGTGGGCAGCAGCAGCAGGATAGAAAGTAGGGGAGGGGGAGCCCTCGACACCCCTGCTATGTGGCTACTTCCTGGCCTCTGCTCTTCTTTGCCCAAATGTGCCTCAATCACCACCTCCATCTCCCAGTCTTCAAATCCAAATCCCACTCGTCACTACTTCCAAAGTCCTGGAGACACCTGTACCTATATACCCTGGGTGCTGAGTAAATGCAGACTCCCAGGCCTTCGCCTATATCCGCCAACTCAGAACATCGTAAGGATGAAGTCCAGGGGCTGCATTTTCAATGTTTCCCCCAGAGGTTCTGATACACTAAATCGCTACTGCCCAGCTCCTCCACTGCCATCTCTGTGCAGCCCTCCCTGATACCTACCTCCTCTCCATGCCCACAGCATTGACTCCATCCTCCTCTGAATGGCCTAGGAGTTCTGGACAACAGGTGTGTGCTGAGGGAGAGGATGTAGAGTGTGCCCCCTTTGGGCTCTGAGCCACCAGGCGTGAGGCGTGGCACTTTCCACTGGCCACCTCACTGCAGATGGGTGTGATCAGCCCAGCTTTGACACCAAAGAGAGACATAGGGCCACAGACAACAAGCAAATGGTGGCTGCGGATTCAAGATGAAGCCTGAGTCTGGTGTAACTCACGTGCATCATGATTTGTAAGCACCCACCCCCCTCTCTTCGGGAAGGAGGACCTGGGTCTCTTTTGTCCTGTTGGGGTTGAGGAAGGTGTAGCATACACACCAACTGTGTCAAGCATTTGAATCAATGAGTGACTCTGAATTCACTCCTTCCTGCAGCCTTCCTGGAAAGCTGGCGTGGCTGACGCTGAGATTAGAAGCCAACACATTCGGGGGAGACAGGAAATGGATGAAACAACAGGAGGACAGTGGGTTTGACTCCAAGGTAAGTGGGTGGCTGGCCCTGCGGTAAAACACATCACCACAGAAACCTGCTGCCCAGCCGTGAGACTCGCAGCCAGGAGAGTCTGAGATCAGAGCTACCCCAGGCATCCTCCTTGTTTGACCACAGAGCATGTACCACTGGTTGTCATGGCAACCAGTTGGCCAGGCCTACTTCCTCCCCCCACCTCCCCTCCTGCCTCCCCACCCACAGTGCTACAGCCTACCATTAATAACCTAATAACTTGTGGCAACAGTCACTCAGACACCCAGACAGCAGCCTTCTGGAAAGCAAACAGACTTCTCCAGGGAATTGAAAGCCACAAACATGCTCAGTGCACTTGACCCTTAGCCACCTGAATCCAGACTACTCTCTCCCTGGCTTTTCCCTCTTGTTTTAAAGACATAGGTCTGGGCACTGGTGGCTCACACCTATAATCCCAGCTACTTGAGAGGCTGAGATCTGAGGAGTATGGTTCAAGGCCAGACGGGGCAAGAAAGCCTGTGAGACTTTCTTACAACCATTAACTAGTGGAACTGTGGCTCAAAGTGTTAGAGCGCTAGCCTTGAGTAAAAAAGCTCAGTGACAGTGAGTTCAGGTCCTGAATTCAAGCCCCACAACTGAAAAAAAAAAAAGACATAGAATTGGCAAAGATGGGGACTGAAGCTTCAGTGGTTCCCAGGAAACAGATGCCTAGAGGAGCTAGCATGTAGGATGCTGCTCCCTTGACCCTGAATTAGGATCAGAGACACTGGTTCTATGGTAAGGCCCCTGACCAGGACATCTATATCTCTGCTGGTCCTCTACTGGGAGAAATCCTCATCTTTGCAAAGGAGGAATTGATTCATGGCACCCAACAACAAAAAGAATTTTGTTTTGGTCAGTCATGGGGCTTGAACTCTGGGCTTGGGTGATGTCCCTGCGCTCTTCAGCTCAAGGCAAGCGCTCTACCACTTGAGCCACAGGGCCACTTCTGGTTTTCTAGTGGTTTATTGGAGATGAGTCTCACAGACTTTCCTGCCTTGGCTGGCTTTGAACTGCGATCCTCAGATCTCAGACTCCTAAGTAGCTAGGATTACAGGCGTGAGCCACCGGCGCCCAGCTAAGAAAGAATTTTTTTAAAAAGGAAAAGTTGCAAGTTATGACGGAGCCAAGATAGTTGCAAGCTATTTTGATATTCACCTCATTGAAACCTGGGGTGGGTGTGTCTAAATCCTCTCCCTCTCCTCTTGAATCTATAACAGCTTGACCAAGAGAATAATCTAGAAGCAATATGGTTCTAGTTTCTGAGTCCAGGCTTGAAAGAACTGACAGGTGTGACTTCCTGTCTCTGGGGATGAGGGTTACTCTTGAAACTAAGTTTCAGACTGTGAGGAAGCCCAGCAAAACCAAGACCCCAGCTGGCAGGCACAGCGAAGCTTCTAGCTACCAGAAGGGCCAATGTCCTGCCATACAAGTGAGTGATCATGGAGGAGACTCCTTTAGCCCCAGCGACCCACCTAGCTGATACTGCCAAGAACAGAGGCCATCCAGCCCAATTCCTGCCCAAGTCATGGACTTGTGAGTACAATAAATGTGCTTTATTTTAAGCTAATATCTTTTTAAATGGTTTGTTCTGCAGCAATAGATAACTGGGCTGTAAATATTATCCTTCCCACCCCAATCACTTTAGGGCCTGTCATATGTTGGTTTTATTGGTAAGGTTATTTGATTCTAATTTTATAATAGTAGAGATTATTTCCATTTCTCCATTAGATCTGAAGGCTCAGAAAGTTTAAGTATGTCAAGGCTGAAACAAGACTTCTAAAGCTAAATTCCTCCCCTGCTCACCACCTTCCTCATTGTGCTAATATGGCGGTGTATGCCTTCCGATTCTGTTTCCTGTCAGATGAGCCTTCTCTCCCTGTTAAATGTGTGCTCTGCCTAGAAGGTGCAGCACCATAGTTAAGTGAAGAACTCCAGGTCTGACATCTAGGGCAGAGCTGACATCTTAGGGCATGACCAGGCTTTCAAAGTCAGAACTTGAGCTGTAAGATCCCATCCCCTACAAAGAGCGCTTCTGTTAGGACCATCAGAGCGCTTCTGTTAGGACCATCAGAGCGCTTCTGTTAGGACCATCGGGAGGCAGAGCATAGAAGGTTAAAAAGAAGTGATGGGGGAGGGGGAGGATGGGAAGGGATGGGAAGGGGAAACAAAGGAGGAGGCAACAATGCTTGATAAGAAATGTACTCATTATCTTGTCCATGTAATTGTAACCCCTCTGTATGGTATTTTCACAATAAAAAGAAAGAAAGAAAGAAAAGTGATTTGGCTGGGCACCTGTAGCTCACGCCTGTAATCTCAACTGTTCAGGAGGAGGCTGAGATCTGAGGATCATGGTTCAAAGCCAGCCTGGGCAGGAAAGTCTGTGAGACTCTTATCTCCAATTAACTACCCAAAAAGCCTCAAGTGGAGCTGTGACTTAAGTGGTGGATTGTTATCCTTGAGCAAAAGCTCAGGGACAAAGCCTAGACCCTGAGTTCAAGCCCAGGACTGGCACACACACACACACACACACACACACACACACACACAGAGGTGATTTGGGTGGGGTTGTAGTTCAGTGATACAGCAGGAGTTTAGAGTGCATGAGGGAAGGAAGGGAAGGGAAAAAAAGGAAACAGAAATAAGGGAAGGGAGGGAGGAAGGAAGGAAGGAAGGAAGGATGGAGGAAGGGAGGGAAGGAGGGAAGGAGGGAGGAAGGAAGGAAGGAAGGAAGGAAGGAAGGATGGAGGAAGGGAGGGAAGGAGGGAGGGAGGGAGGAAGGACAGGAAGAGACTCTGGAAGAAGGAAGGAAGGGAGAGCAGGAGGGAGGGCAGTGGTTTCCTAAGGTACTAGATCTAAGAGGTGGGTCTGAAGGCAGGCCATGCGTTGGGAGCTGGGCTCTCCACTGAAAACAGTTGACAGCAGTAGGGTATTGGTTCTCTCTGCCGGCGCTCACCCTCTCCCTCTTCCTCTTGGGAGCTTCCCAGTGTGCTGGGGTTGTGGGGAGGGATGAAGCCGGTCTTCCCAGACCGTGTCCTGTCAAGCCGCTCTGGGCCGCACAGGCAGTGGTCACCCGCTGCCGGCTGACCTGGCTTGGCTGTGCGGAGGGGCCCCTTCCTCCCGCACCCACACAGCCTTCTGTGTGTCAGTCTCAGCCCGCTTGGCTCGGGGCCCCAGACGGGCGCTGACCGCAGTCCCTGCCGTCCAGCCCGAGCGCGGCCTGGCCACCGCGTTCTTCCTTGGCAGGGCCAAGAGTTGGGGACCTTGCCAGCCCGACCTGGCGATGCTGGCCTGCGGAACACTCGGGGGAGGGGGTGCGGGGGGCCCAGCCCCAGGCCCTAGGACCCCGGTGCCCTTGGCAAGAGGGATCACCCCCCCCCCGCTGGCCTAGGGAGGGAGAGGAGGGTCAGGAGCTCTGGGGAGGGAAGGGTTAGCTGTCTCACACTTCTGGGGGGTAATTACCAGGTGGCCACGGTGCCAGCCAGCGGGGGTGGCTGCTAAACCCAGCGGCGGCCACAGGCGGAGACACCCTACCCAGCGGAGGGACGGGACGCGCCGGTGCTGGGGGACAGACACGGGGCTGGGGGCGGGGTGGTGATCTTCACCGCTTTCCCTGCCTTCTGTCTGCCGGGCACGCGCACGCGCACGCGCACGCACCTCTGCCTGCCCGCCGGGCGCGCGCACACCGCCTCTGCCTGCCAAGCACGCGCACGCGCCTCTGTCTGCCAAGCATGCGCACGCGCACGCGCCTCTGCCGGCCCGCCAGGCGCGCGCGCACCCCGCCTCCGCTGAGCGCGCACCCTGGCTGCTCCCGCACCTCCAGCGCTCCCGCGCGCCCCGCTCCCGGCCGGCCCCCCCCAGGGCCCCCACACCGTCTTCCCGCCCTAGAGCACCGGGAACCCAGGATCACCTCGAGAGGAAGCCGCCTGGCCCTCGGGGTCGCCTACCTGCGCGGTGACCGTCCGGTCCCGTCCGGAAGCCCAGTGCTCGCGCCCTCTCTTTCTGGAGTGGCCTGGGGACTCCGGGAGGTCCCCGCCTCCCGCGGGAGCGAGCCGGGCCGCGCTGCTGCGCCCGACCCTCCTGCTCCCACCTCCCGTCAGGCACACTCAGACCTGCCGTCCACGCCCAGCCCTGCGCGCTGACCGCAGCCCGCAGGCCAGGCGCCTGCCGGGGAGGCCGGGGAGGCCGCGAGCGCGCGCCCGGCCCCAGAGGCAGCCCCGCCGCCTGCGCCCCGTCCCGCCCTGGGGACAGGTCCGCGCGCCACGCGGGCCCAGATGCAGAAGGACCCCGGCCTTCTCCAGCCGCTGGGGGAAGGGGGGACGGGGGGGGGGGGGTTCCCTCGCAGCCAGGGAGAAGCTGGGAGCAGAGTATACAGAGCCGTCTCTCTGAATTCACCTCCATGTCCCCAGCTCGGGCACATCCGTAAATGGGGTCCCATGCCCTGCTTTGGGGCTCCCTTTACCAACCGTGAGCTTAGTCCTAGCCTAGCAGGGCCCTGTCGTGGCCCTGATGCTGTCAGAGCAGGAACGCATCTGCAGCCAGTGGCCCCAGACCACGGAGGAATGACTTCCTGATAAAAATGAAGGAAACTGGAGTGCCTTCTTCTCCACAAGCTCCAGAGAATCCTAAGAACCGGCCAGAGTTTGCATTTATTGAGCACTGACTGTATGCCCAACACTAAGCACTTCAATGCCTTAACAACTTTGATCCTCAAGCTCTCTGTAAAATACCTATCACTCCTATTCCCATTCTACAGGTAGAGGAATAGAGCCCAGAGAGGTCGAGTAACTGGACCAAGGTCACACAAGTATGGGCTGAAGGGACAGATTCAAATTCAGCAGCCTTTTGCTCCAAACCACTTGCTTCCTGTCCCTTGCCACCCTTACCTGTTCACCAGCAGCTTCTGCTCCTCCACAACAACCTACCTTGTCTCCTGTGACCCTCTCCCCTCTAAAGCCCGCCTGTGGCATCTCCTGAGCTCTCATCCTGGTTTGAAGACTCCCAAGTTACCTGTCCTATGGAACCTTGGAGGTTGTCACAGGCCATGATCGCAGAGCCCCCACTCTACCCCCTGAGCACCCCTGACCCATTCTTTGCCCAGCCTGCTGGGGCCTTGCTCTGGGCCCAGTACCCTGCTCCAAGTAGGGCTATCCCCCATTCCTATTTGTGAACTGAGTATGCACTCAGCATCTCGGAAGCATGCAGAAACGTGTGTGGCTGCTCTCAGGATAGATGGCTGGGGGTAGAGAGGCAGACAGACCGAAATGCAGGCTGGAAGGGAGAGGGAGAGACAGCAGTCCTCTTACTTGCCAGTGCTCTGGTGGCTCAGCGCCTCGAGGTGAGTCCCTGAGTGGGAATGGACAGGACAGAAGACAGCAGGAGAGACACGGGGAGCAAGAGGAGACCTTGGATACAGAATGGGGGGAGGAAGGGAGCTTTCCTCCCAACAGGTGCTCCCAGTGGCTGGGTCCGCTTCCTCTGCTCCTCCTTGTAGTATCTTCCCAAATGGGAGTTTTCTGAATTAACTATTCATGCCTGAAAATGTACATCAGCTCTTTTGAAAAATAGTCACACTGCAAGTCGTTTTGGCTGTGAAATCCAGAGAGTTTGGGTTCCAGCTTTGCTCCTTACCAGCAGGGAGACTGTGGGTGAGTCTCTTAGCCTGTTTGTGCCAATTCCTTGATGGGGAAATGAGGACAGTACTTGCAAAGGGAACAAGATGATCCCAGGAGTGACGTCTCTGCTCAATGCCTAGCGCCCAGGAGTTCAGAGGATGGGGCTGTTTTATACACTGCAGACACTTCTTACCTATTCATGCTATAGTGGCTACTACCTTTCACTGTCTAAACATTCCTAAGACATGCTCCCCCTTTTTTAACATGTAACTTTATTGTTATTATTAAGGTCTTGTACAGAGCTGGTACTGTTTCACAGGTCAGGTAATGAGTACACTTCTTTTTGGCCAATGTCACCTTTTCCTTTGCTTTCCTTCAGCTCCCCCTGCCCCCGACCCTGCCTACATGTTGCACAGTTCATTTTCTTCATACTGTCTCCTGAATAGCATGACTGTCTTTGTTCACCCTTCCTCTCTCTCTTTCTGTGCCCCCCCTTTGCCCACCTTAAAAACAGAAAAAATCCAAAGACAAAAACAAATACCACCACCGCCACCCACAGCAACAATAACAACAACAAAAAGACATTTCCTGGAATTGGTGTTGATAAATAGTATTTTAAGTGTTTGGCAGAGTTACACCTTTGGGTTTTACCCCTAAGAGTACCCTCCTTTTATCTCATTGTGTGTGTGTATGAATGCATGACATAGGTAGAAGCCAGATATAAAAATACAACTGGAAACAATAACTTATATAAGACAAGCCCCTTTTAAATTCATACCTCACTGTTTGGAGATAGAAGAGCATGATTCTTAAAAGAGGCAAATGGCCAGAGGGATATAGGTTTGATATTTCTGGCTGTGCTTTCCCTAAAAATAAAAAAGTGGGGCTGGGAAGGTGGCTTAGTGGTAGAGTGCTTGCCTTACATGCATGAGGCTCTGGGTTCGATTCCTCAGCACCACATAAGCAGAAAAAGCCAGAAGTGGTGCTGTGGCTCAAGTGATAGAGTGCTAGCCTTGAGCTAAAGAGCTCAGGGACAGCACTCAGGCCCAGAGTTCAGGCCCACGACCAACAAAATTAAAAGAGAAAAATAAAATAAATTTTAAAAAAAGGTGTGTTTGGAAAGATCATCACACCACTGGCCTGCCATCTTTCTCGAGCTTGCCTGTGACACTTCGTGTCAAGATGTTCTTTAGTGGTGGTAATGGTGGTGACGCAGAATGTGTTCTTTTGTAAATGAAACCAGGCAACATCCTTACAAAGAACATACAACACCTGGCACCGGTGGCTCACGCCTGCAATCCTCACTACTCAGGAGACTGAGATCTGAGGATCACAGTTCGAAGCCAGCCCGGGCAAGATAAAAGTCCTTGAGACTCTTCAATAAACTTCACAGAAAAAGCCAGAAGTGGTGTAGTGACTAAAGTGGTAGCACTAGTCTTGAACACAAAGAGGCTCAGGGACAGAGCCCAGGCCCTGAGTTCAAGCACTGGGACTGGCAAAACAAAATAAAAAACACAAAACTTACAGGAAGATGGTATTATGTTTCAGAGCCTTCCTGGGCCTAGAGAATGCTCTAGGAAATACATTCTCAGAATGCTGATTTGAAATACTGCACTACTGTCTTTCTTGCCCATGGAAGTCCACTTCCCATGAGGACTTCCTTTCCAGTCTCCTATGGGAGTGTCTTCTTTTCTGTTGTTGTTGCTGTTGTTTTTAATGTCTTGGTATTTTGCCTTTAGACAATGCCTGCATGCTGAGCCTTTTGGATGACTAGTGCATGGTATTTTCCCAATGCTAAACTCAGGGTGACTCTTTGCAGGTGTCCAGAAAAATGGCAGACAAGGGACTGTGTGGACAGGGCCTCCACAATCTGTCCTCATCTGACTCTAGCCTCTACCCCAAGGATTGTGTCCTTGCTCGGGAGAGTTTCTCCTCTGTGTCACGGTGGCTTCAGGTTGGCTATGACCCTTTGTGGAAGGCGGCTGCACCCATTGGAATCCCTCTCTGGCTTCTTCCTGTGAACCTAAGCAGATCCTCAGCTCCCCAGAGAGGCCATGACAGACCCCTTAGCCCAGCCCCTCAGTTCCCTGCATCCTACCCACAGGTCTCTGATGACACAGAGGCCGATGCGTCACAGGCAAACTCACACTAATGGAGTTATGAATATACACAGCTTATCTACTTAAAAAAAAATTACTGTTTTCCCAGTTCACTCTTCCAATGAGCACAGTCTGCCTGGCCTCAGAGGAAAGCTCTCTTCAACCTCTAAACAATAGGAAGAACGGCTGCTTCCTTCCCAGCCTCCAGCCCGGCCCAAGGCTCCTCGTCCACCTGCCCTGCTTCCTATCACCCAGGGCAGCGCCCCCAGCCATTCAAGCAGGTGTTCAACTTGCCTTCTGAGAAAGACTTGCCTTTGCTCTAGCTCATGCAGCTAGAGGCTGGTGGGTCTGAGAACAATTATCTCTAGCATTGACCACACACCAGCAGTCTGGGGCCTGAGCTGATTAATCATATTCCTGATGATCATCTTCCTGAGTTGAAATCAGGTAACTTGAAGGGATGGGTAGGGGTGGGAGAGATGGAAAACAATGGAAGGAGTAACATTGATCAAGGTGCCTTGTACTCATAAATTGATATGCTGAATTGAGACCCCTTTGTACAACCACTTAAAGATAATAATAATACTGCTAATAATAACAATAAACTTGTTTCTGTTCCTACTCAGATCATCAAGGCTCTCAGACCTACCATGATTAAGGGAGACACCAGAAGGCAGGAAACCTTGAAGCCAGAGAGGAGTCAGCGCCGGTCCGTGTGAAATGTCAGCATGTACATCTGGAGGGCTGAGATCCACGTCAAATCCTAGGCTAGTCTTGGAACACCAGAAAGAAGCTTTCAAGCTAGGTTCACTTGGGCTGAGTTTGTTTGGGAGGGCCAAGTGCAGGGAACTTTAGCATCTAAGTACCTAAGTTTGCATCTCATACCGGGTGCTTTTTAGTTGTGAAATTTATGCAACCTCCCGGGGTCTGTTTCTTCTTTAAAGTGGGGTTAATAGGGAACTGGGTGTGCTGACTCACATTGGTAATCCCAGCTACTCAGGAGGCAAAGATCAGGAAGATGGAGGATCAGAGCCAGCTGGGAGAAAGTGTTAGCAAGACCTTACCTCAACCAACAAGCTGGGTGGCTTGCACCTGTGATTGCATTTGCAGCAGAACTATAATAGGAGGATCATGATCCAGGCTAGCCCTATCAGAAACATGAGAGCCTATCTCAAAAATAACCCAAGCGTGGCTCATGTGGTTGGTAAGCATGAAGCCCTGAGTTCAAACCTCAGTACCTCCAAGAAGTGGGAATAATATGAAAATCAACATAAGAATCAGATATCTAGGTGCTCTTATGACTGCTGGTTGGCTTTGAAGCTAGAAGGGAAGAGAGCAGGTGGGACACAAAAAGGAGTATTCCTGATAGAAGTAACATGGGCAGGGGGCAGGGGGCCGGGTACCCGTGGCTCATGCCTGTAATCCTAGCTACTCAGGACGCTGAGATCTGAGGCTTGTGGTGAGACTCTTATCTCCAATTAACCACCAGAAAACTGGAGGTGGCTCTGTGTCTCAAAGTGGTAGAGCAGCTGGGAAGGTGGCTCAGTGGTAGAGCGCTTGCCTTGCATGCATGAGGCCCTGGGTTCGATTCCTCAGCACCACATAAGCAAAAAGAAAAAAGCCGGAAGTGGCGCTGTGGCTCAAGTGGTAGAGCGCTAGCCTTGAGCTGAAGAGCTGAGGGACAGCGCCCAGGCCCAGAGTTCAGGCCCCACAACCGGACCCAAAAAAAAAAAAAGAAAGTCAAAGTGGTAGAGCGCTAGCCTTGAGTGAAAAAGCTCAGGGACAGCACCCAGGCCCTGAGTTCAAGCCCCACTACTAACAATAAAAAGAGATGGAGCTTGGCCAGCCAGATTCTCTGCTTTGGAGAATGGAGCTTCCACTTAGCGGCTATGTGGCCCTGAGAAAGCCACATGACATTTCTGTGCCTCCCTTTTCTTCTCTGTGAAATGTAGGTACTAAGAGTACCTTCAGGATGTTCTGAATTAGTAAGTGTAAAACTCTTAGAGCTATGCCTGCCCCTGGCAAGTGTTCCATGGAAGTCCATGGAAGGCTTGTGTGTTCTGTTCTGGTGCAAGCGTGCAAGATGTATTGCTAACAGTGAGGTGGGCAACTGGTGTTTGACTGCCTTTGATTTTGCCCTCTTTGGGGGTCATTTGACCTGTATATGGAGGCTGTAGCAGGGCAGGGATGAATCTGATTGGTAGCAGGCACATACAACCTTCTCCAGACTTTAGGGGCAGGAGTCCTTAGAGACATTCTTTGGAACGGGGTATGGTGTCATCGGCTTCAATTCCCAGGAGGAGGCCAGCCTGGGCTACAGAGTGAGTTCAAAGCCAACTTGGCTATGTAGTGAGACACAGTCTCCACAAACCAAACCAGAGAGAGAAAGACAGAGAAATCTACTGGATGACCAAGTCACTCTACAGCATTTACTGAGCACCTGTGGCTTAGGTGGCACCACTGCCCTGCCCTCCGGAGGGGTTAGGGACGCCTCAGGCTGCCATACTAAATATGGCAGGGTGTGGGTATTGCCAGGAACTGAACTTCAGAGTCAGAGGAGTCCAAGATGGGCTCCAAGGCCTCTTGAGGAAGGTGGGGCGTCCTCGGGAGCTTGGAGGGCTGAAGGTGTGGGGTTGGACGAGCGGAGGGAGGAGGCCAGGGCAAAGGACAGGCAGTCACTGCAAAGCGGGCAGCAAGCTCAAAGTCACTCAGTTCATTTCAGTTCATTCAGTTATTCATTTGTTAGCTTCCCACAGACAAACTAAAGGTGCATGCTCTCTCAGTAGTAGTGGGGATTGAATGCATGGCCTTGAGCTCGCTAGGCAGGAGCTTTTAGCACTGAACCACACCCCAGTCCTAAAGTCATACTTCCTAGCAATGCTTTGCACTCAGCGCAGCCTGAGGGAATTTGCTAATTATTTTTGCTATTCCTTGTTCAAATTCCTTTTTTTTTTTTTTTTTTTTTTGGTCAGTCATGGGGCTTGAACTCTGGGCCTGGGCTCTGTCCCTGAGCTCTTCAGCTCACGTGTTCTACCACTTGAACCACAGCGCCGCTTCTGATTTTTCTGGTGGTTTGTTGGAGATAAGAGTCTCACAGACTTCCCTGCCCAGGCTGGCTTTAAACCACAATCCTCAGCTCTCAGCCTAAGTAGCTAGGATTACTACAGGCATGAGCCACCAGCCCCGGCAATCCAAATTCCTTTCAAATTGGTCTCATTCCACTCAAGAGAAAGCATCACTGGGGTGCTAGAATGTCTTTACCACCACTGGAATTCTCACTCCTCCTTTGTAACCTGGAGAGCTGGTCTGTAGCAACAGGTGTGGAGGCTTTGTGGCTGCTTTCTTTGTTCTCATCTACGCAACAACTTTTCCTATTGTGGAAGAAGGTGTTCTCTGTTTCTGAGAGTGGAATAAGATTTCCTTTAAAATGGAATACACACACACACACACACACATTTGTCCCTTGCTATGGTCTTGGTCACTGAGGTCTCTTCAAAATGAAGAGGCAAAGCCTGGGAAGGTGGCTTAGTGGTAGAGTGTTTGCCTAGCATGCATGAAGCCCTGGGTTTGATTCCTCAGCACCACATAAACAGAAAAAGCTGGCAGTAGTGCTGTGGCTCAAGTGGTAGAGAGCTAGCCTTGCACAAAAGAAGCTCAGGGACAGTGTGCAGGCCCTGAGTTCAAGCCCCAGGACTGGCAAAAAGGAAGAGGCACCGGGTGGTCCTCGGTGGTGAGGCCTGAGCCCTTCCTCCGGGCTTCCAGCTGCCACCATGTCCCCACTGCCACCCACAACACATGTGCTGGACACGGTGGGGGTTGGGGGGGTTGGGAGGGAGCTGGGATCAGAGAGGAGCAGCTGAGAGCCACACCATCCTCCCAAGATCTGTTCAGATCTGTGAGCAGGGCTGCTGTCTAGAATGGGAGACCTCCTTTATTCTCATCCGGGGGTGGTGGCTGGGGGGCCATCTGATACAATAGGGTTTATATCTCAGCCAGTCTTAAATGGCAAGTTTCCATTCCTGAGCTAATACAAGTTCTGTGGCTATTGGGTTTCCGAAGTATGACATTTGAACAGAAACCTTAGGGGTGTCATAGAAACTTGGGTGGCTGAGGGTTTTGAAAGCCATTTGGGAGGAAAACTAGGATTAAGACAGCAAGGACAGCACTCTGCTGGCCACTGGATCACAGCCGACAGGGCTGTGCGAGTCCCGGTCCTCAGGCACTGTCTGGAGAGCGCCGTGACGATCCGGGTTGCCTTGAGTGACGAGGAGTTCCAATCTGAAACCTACCGGGAGGCTTGGAAGCACCCCGAGTCTCCCAGTGACTGCACTATTGTGCACCCAGCCCTGTGAGTGCCGGGGCTTAGTTTGAGAAGAGAAGCAGTATGGCCCTGCCACTCTCTACGTTGTCATCTGTGTCCCCTCCAGAGAATGAGTTGTCAAAGACTGGTTCCCTCCCCTCAGACCAAAGCCCAGGAGACCCATTCAAATCAAGGAGTGAATGAATGAATGGGTGAATGAATGAATGAGTGGTGGATGGAGGGATACATGGAGACTCAGGAAATACTCAGTATACTTCTGTAGACCACGAATGGCCAGCCTTTTCACTTGGATGCCACTTACTTCCCTGAGCTGTCCTGAGGGGAGAAGGGAGCTGGGCATGACCCCAGGGACTTGGGTGGGGTTGGCTGACACCTGCCCCATCCCTGGAAGCTTGGCTCAAGGTGTCCCCTTCCCTCCCCCTTCCTCCCCCCCCCAGTCCCTCATGACATTCCTGTGGGTGGCAGGGCAGATCAGTTTGGAACCTAGAACACCAGGACCAACCTCCCTCCTCTTGGCGTGTTCCCTGCAGAGCTCTTTAGTCCTGGATTTTGACTTTGGAGTGCTGGGCAGGTTGGTGTGTGTGTGTGTGTGTGTGTGTGTGTGTGTGTGGCTTTTGCATGCTGGGCATGTCGGTGTGTGTGTGTGTGTGTGTAGGGGGCAGGCATCCATGCCCAGCTCCTGCGCCAGTCTGGCGAGGTTGCCAGTCTTCCCTCCTGGGTCAGGCCTGGTGTGCTGTGCTTGTGGTGGGGGCGTGGACTGGGGTTGGCTGGGTCCAGCTCAGTTCCAAGCCAGGCCGGGCCTGCAGCAGGAGGCGGAGACACGGAGAGAGCAGAGAGCGGCTCAGAAACCCACCACCACCCCTGACCCTGCAGCCTGCAGAATTTCTCAGAAGGGCCCCAGAGGGCTCCAGGGCTGGGAACACCCCCTCCCGCTCCTAGCATCCCTGTGGGGGCAGTAAAGAGCAGGTGGCTGGTTTTGTCTCTGCCTGCGCTCAGACTGAACAGGATACAAGGACTTTATTATTTCAGTGGGCTGAGCCAAAAGGCCTGTCGGTGTTGGGAAAGGGGACATTCGGAGCCATGCCATGCCCCACCAGGCTGCTGCCCATGGGCTCTGGCTGACTTCACATTAGTCCTGGCCAGGCGTGGCTCTTGGTCCCCTAGGGATGGAGAGGTGAGGGGTCTTCCCTAGCCAGGCGGACTTCCGGCTGAAGTGCCAGGAGGGAGGGCAGAGGCACAGAAGCACGGACAGGTAGGTAGGCCCCTCCAGCCTCCAGCCAGGCCCGCGTGGCCCTTCTGGGACATGACAGCTCTCAAATCCAAGCTCTGAGTTCCAGAGTCTGAGGGAGTTTGGAGGAGGCCTCTGGTTTGCTCTGGGCATTCTGCAGAGCCTGCACCATCACTTAGAATTCGCTCCCTCTGCCCCTCCTTACCTGGTGCCATGTTCAGGCCACTCCTGGGTCTGGGAGGCCAACAAGCCGCAGGAACAGCTGTGGCGGGCACACTACCCAGCCTGTCCATCTGCTGTCCTTCCCGCCGCCATCGTCCTCTCACACGGGCCGCCCCAGTGCGGGGCTGGAGCCAGCAGGTGAATTCCCAAAAATCTGGCAGGTGAGTTGTGAAACACAGCCATGCTTCAAAATGAACTTCTGCAAGCCCGCACTTAGATAACTGATATTAAAAACAAAGGTAATTCATACTCAACACTCGCCACTTCCTAATGATTTTTAAAGACACTCATGCCTGTGAACAGTCACACTACTGTAACCGTGCGGTGGTGGTGTTTGTTGCACAGTTGGGGTTGGAGAGCCTGTTCACCTCTTTCTGTCCTGTGTGGAGTGGCCTCGTGCTGGTTGCTGAAATCAGCCGAGGTGAAGAGATTTCACAACAGAAATGGGCTTGTGTTATATTTAGAGCTTGACGTATGGGCCTTTTTGTTGGGTTTTGAGACAGGGTCTCAGAATGTGGCCTAGGTTGGCCTGGAATGCAAGATCCTCCAGCCTCAGCCTCCTGAGTGTTAGATTACAGGCATGAACAACCACGCCTGGCTCTTTGGGGTTTTTGTTGTTGCTGTATGCTT